AAAAGACAATCGTTATAGAAAAATTAGAAAAGAATGTTAATAACTTGAAGAAAATAATTTTAAACGGATAAAAAGATGTTGACTACTATCCCCTATGCTATCCACCATGAGAAAAAAACGAACCAACATTATAAAGAATACTTATATCGAATGCTACAGGATGTTCAATAACTTTCAGTAGTGAAAGTAATTTGAACGAGCAACTGTTTAAGCTCTGAACGGTTCTTAGTCATTTTATACTTCTTTGCCAATTGGGTGTTTGAGCTAAAATGAAATGAACGACCGCTCAAAAACGGTGATAACTGTGAAATAAAAATGAAGAGCGACACCGGGGATTATAATTCTGAAAAATTGAAATGAAATCGAATTTATCATTTTCAAGTTTACTTTCAAGTTTCAAGTTCATGCAATATCGCTCGAGAGCCGTCTGCTATGTGAAAGCTTGTAAAGCAATCATACATGAAAAGAATTAATTTCAAAAATTGAAGAGTTGTGAGCTGTTTCAAACGCTTGAAAGTGCGCTATAGTCTTTGATTTCGATATCAACAGAAAACACAAGACAGAACATTGCAAGTCATTGTGAAGAACCAACCTCTCCTCTGCTCGAAAGTAATTGTGATGAGCAGATGGATTAACAATGATTCTACTGCTTGGAAAATGGATCAATGCTAGGTTTGCGGCAATTTTGAATTAGAGTAATAAACAAAGTTTTTAAATTAAGTATTCAAACGATAATAGCGAATAGAATAAAAGAACTATTAAGCTAGAAATAAAATAAAACTAATACAACGAAAAGCTTTACAAGAGCATTTCCCATTGAAAGGTTATCATGCATAAGAATGAAACAGAGATATTGTTACTCGTCCTTAATCTATAAGATCTGTAAATCTTCTAAAAGAAAAAAAATATATACATTATTAGAAATGTTAAAATGCAAAAGGAATGCCTCATGCTGGAATCGAACCAGCGACCTTCTGTTTACTAGACAGACGCTCTGCCCCTGAGCCAATGAGGCTTGTTAGGTGATTTCATACAATGTTCTGAATCTTTTTGGAAACAATTCATAGCTATTGTCTGATCAAAGTTTGACGAAAATGCGTTGCTCCTATTTTGAACAATTTTTTTCTTCTAGTACATACCATTAACGAAACTCTGATATTAATGTAACAAGTTTTCAAGGAAGAAAATAGACTTACACGACATTACTATTGGAATCAAGCACATAACGAAATTCATATCAAGTTTGAATGTCTTGTCAAATCAATAATTTAGTTGTGGTCGTAGTTCAACGTGAAATAATTTTTTATCAAACATCACTGTCTTGCGTTTGTTACCCTTATAATTTCTTATTTAACTGAATATAATACCCATTGAAAGGATGTTCCATACGTCACTACGGCTTTCGTCCCACTACTGCAAAAGAATTGTGCTTTCAAAACCAGTTGAGGCTGCTTTAAACAATAAAAGCGGAGTAGTTGCTCTGGAGAGTACTGTTATTACTCATGGATTACCATATCCAGTTAATTTGGAGTCAGAAGGATTGAAAATGATCTCTTCAAGTTTTTATGTATTCCAGAACCGCTTTGCATTTAGAAGAAGAGGTGCGCCAAGGAGGGTCAGAGCCCGCCACTATAGCTTTATTAGATGGAGAAGTAGGGTTGAAGCTGCAACTCTGAATTACATTTTCTACAGATACATATAGGCTTAAATAGAGAGCAGCTTCAAAGAGTCTCTGATTCTATGGATTCTGTAAAAGTATCCAGACGAGATATTCCTTACGCTCTGGCTCAAGTATGTGAAGCACAATCCACCGTTGTTCTCTTAATAGCGTAGATTGTGATGTGAGTTTTTCATATATTGCCGTATATCCATTACAGAACTTAGTTGGCGGTACAACTGTTGCTGCAACAATGTTCTTAGCCAACTTGGCGGGTATCAAAGTATTTGCTACTGGGGGTATTGGAGGTGTTCATCGTGGCGCTGAGGAAAGTAAGTTCTTTCAACAATTCTATGAAACTTTGTTAGCATTTGACATATCGGCCGATCTACAAGAATTGGCTAGAACTCCAGTAACAGTGGTTTGTGCTGGTGTGAAGAGCATTCTCGATATAGCTAAGACTGTTGAGTACTTGGTATCTTTGACTGAGTCACATAATAGATAAATCAGTTTGTTTGAGGAAACACATTCTGTCAACACTATAGTGTATGGACCTGTGAACAGTTTTCCAGGCTTTTTCACCAGTAGAACATCGAGTAAAGCACAATTCGCAACAGAATCTTTAGAGGAAATTGTGAAAACTCTAGGTAGGAACAGTTCTAGGGCAAGAATAACTTCATATCAAAGGTGTTGCGACGGAACTCGGTCTTGAAGCGGGCACTATACTTGCTTGTCCAATTCCAAAGCAGTATGAAGGGGATGGAAAAATAATAGAAGATGCTATTCAGAAAGCTCTCACTGAATCAAAGTATAAAAACTACACGAATGTGGTGTACACCTCCTATTCAGAGAACAGCAAATTAAATCTCAGAAGATTACACCTTTCCTCTTGAGCCGAGTAAATGAACTAACTGAAGGAGCATCCATGAGAACAAGTTTGTTTTTCATGGTTTTTTTTAAATACCTCCAAGTATAGATATTGCCCTTCTGCGGAATAATGCCAGAATTGGTGGGAGGTTGGCTAAGCTTCTTGCTGAAACAACACCGAGAATAGTATCAAAACCGGAATCGCAACCAATGTTGACTAATCTATCGAGCAAACCTAAAATTGTATGATTAGGAAATTGTCTTGAGTTGATTTTCCTCTATATAAATATGGATTCAACCATTTTTTATTCAAAACAAAAAAACTTTTATTGTTTGGTTTAATATAAGTTATATTTTCAGACAATAATTGGAGCTACAATAGTCGATTTTGAGGCCATCACCCAAGAAGACGTAAAGGTGAATGCTTTTTTGGAATAATTCAAATCTTTCTTTGGGAACACAACATAGAACCAATCTTTCTTTATATGTACAACAGTGGAGAGGAATCCTCGTAGAGGGTTGTTCTGAGCCAATAACTATCAATTCAAAAAGTCCTAGAAAGTCTGTTGATTATCATTTTTTCCGACTTATTCTGCTAGGTCCTGGTACCAAGTGTAGAGGGTCGGCTAAAGCTACTTGCTCAACAACTGCTCGTTTGATGTAAGGAGAATAATCTTTGTCATAATATTCTTCCTCATCTTCTGTGTCCCAGTCGCTAAATAATATAGTTTATTGGCATAAACACTTAGCGCCTGACTATTTAGAAAATTCGTTGCGCGAGAAAAGTCGTTGAATATCCTCACGTAGGACAATGATGACAATAAATTTAAGAGGCAGAAGAATGTAGTAGATTACTATAGAGATAGCATCCAGCCTGCCGTGCATCCATCTAAAAAATAGGAATATAAGCGAAGATATCCTTGCTATAGCTACTTTATCAACTCCATTTGGCATTGAGACTCGTCTCGGCAGACACCAAATTGACCTAAACGAACTCATATTCGAGTTTGATCTCTTCCTTCCTTTTACCTGAGCAGAACGTTTGTAAAACTTCTGCTGAGCAACAAGTCAAAGAGTCTTGAACAAACTGCCATATTGGACATGCGGAATTATTAGCCATCTTCAAAGACGCGGTGAGACAATAAAAGAAACCACGGAGCAAGATAAATACCTGTTCTGCTATGGAAGTCTGTAGGTGTTGGTTGAAGTTCTTGTTAACCGAAGATATTTGCTCCACAAAAGGAAATATCATACCCAAATCTAGCACCACTAAAGGGATTGTCAGAATCCAATAAACCTAAAGTGATTTTCGAAGCTTTGAATTTGAAGGTAATAGTACCCTTAGTAAAACTAGCTTGTTATAGAAAATACCCGAAAGTCCACATATACAGGTAAAAGTCTATAAAACATATTTGGTAAAACAGAAAGGATTACGAAAGAACCTGTAGAATCATCAAGGTAAGATAAATAATAACATTAGGGTCTGTGGAGAAAACTGGTACGAATGTCCATAAAGGATGTGTGATTGTCTGAGTTGTTAGGATCACGAGGCTAACCTATAATGAAGTCAAGACTGCGAGGCAGACACAGAGACTCACTTCAGCTATTATAATGAAGATATTTATGCAGTAAATCCACGCTCTGTAGTATGGCATATCTCTGGAAAGAAAAAAAGTAGCTCAAAGTAAAGGCACATAAATATATTGTATTTTCTGAGAGCACTACAATCTGCTTTAGTTCGGATGCCTCGTGTTTGATAGTCGGCTTAAACATTTAGCGGAATTGTATCAAATATCGACAAATAGTTGGTAGTTTTGATGAACAAGGAAAATTCTCCTAAAGGAACCGAAAGGAAACTTAAACGAATAGTTTGTGTTTCAATTATGTATCTTCCGCTTCTTTTTTAACACTGATGTTATTTGTCATAGTTTACTCAAATGACTTATGATAGATGATGATGTCAGTTTCTGACAAATGTAATCCGGCCGTTGAGCGGAAAAATCAGATGACTTTTGTTTTAATAAGAATTACCTGAGAACTGTAGGAGAAGTGGGTGGAACAACTTGAGAAGAAGAAAACGAAGAATAAATGACTATCTTTTCCGGTCTGAAATCTCCTCCTTCTAGTCCCGTTTTGGCTTGTTGATTCAAACCTAAAATTAAACAAAAATTTTTTAAGGATGATGGAGCTTCTTACCGAGGAATAGTTACACAGCGTTGTGGTGGAGTCGCCAGAAACCATGCTGACGCATTGGCTAGGTAAAATCAGTTGTCTCTTAAATACCTGAGTTTATTTAATTAGACTTGGATGCGATGCTACCTTCATTTCGGCAGTCGGAAATGATTCCTATGGACAATATTTCTTCGAAAAATGCTCTCATATTGCACGTTTTGTGATTTTAAACTTTTTTATCTGCACATATTAAGAACACTTCCCGAGTGGAGGTCATACGCAATCTACCTACTGCAGTTTACTTAGCGATGAACAGTAAAGGGAATGTTCGTTTTGGAATCAACTCTCTCGGAGAGATCGTAGACCGGATCACACCCGACTTAGTCAGACAACTGTATTTGATAATAGTAATGCTTCCTTTAGATCCTAAAAAATGAGGATGTAATCGCCGATTCTAAATATGTTCTTCTTGATGGGAACCTGTCTATCCAAACGATTAGTAAAGCCATTGAACTAGCAGAATTCTACAACGTGCCTGGTTAGAGTAAAAGGAATTACCACAAAGTTACTTCTCATTTCAGTTTGGTTCGAACCAACTGATGTATTTAAGACTAGAAAAATATTTGATGGTCAAGCAGAAAAAAGAATCACTGCCGTTTCGCCCAACGCTAATGAATTCCGAGAATGGGTGAAAATGAAAGGACTTACCTTACCAGGTTCTACCTGCTCTCAGAGTTTTCAATTTCGTATAAAATATTGAAGAAAATGTTCTCGCTGATCCTGAAAGTTTGAGTCATTATGTGGAGAAGAATGTAAAGCTATTTGAAAACTTATCACTATTACTCATCTCCTTATCTAATAATGGAACCGTTGTATTCAAGTGAGTTTAGGGTGTTTTTCCCTTATTTATTGTTTTTAGAACTGATGAGGAACATACTTCGAAATTTATTCTACCTCCGCCTGTGAAAAATTCTGACGTCATAACATCAGTTTCTGGGGCGGGGGATAGGTTTGTTGATATCAAGAATTGAAAACAATACGTCATTACAGTTTGAACAGTGGTATTTTGGCTGGGTTAGTTCACGGATTAAAGTTTGAAGATTGTTTACACCTTGGGCAGACATGTGCGGAACTAACTCTCAAAACAACTGAAGCTGTTTCGCTCTCTATCAATTCAAACTTATTGAACAAATTCTAATAAAGCTTGAGCATCAAAATCATAGGGCTTTGTTTTGCAGCAACCTGGCTATAAGTATGAGAAACGAATATTTCACTAAAATCCATTCATTTTGTGAACAAGGAAACTCTTTCACTATTTGTGCAGAAAATGTAATGTTTGGAGAAACCGCTAGTATCTTGAACTATAAGAAAACAAAATATTTGGAATTTGGTTAATTGTCAATAGATACATAACATGTTAATGACAAATAGTTATGATGAAATTAAAATAACATTGTCCTACTATATAAAGAGTGGAGATAAAACATTATTTGAATTTCTATTGAGCATTCAAGATGGTTCGTTTTACTTCTTCTAATATAATACATTACTCGCATATTAATAGGATATTAAAAGATTCTTTCAACATAGGAGTAATGTCATTTCTGTGGTTGTTGTAGCCGTTATTCTGTTGATAGTTCTACTAACTGCTGTCCTTCTCCCAATACTTCTTATCCACAGTAACGTCATTGTTTTTGTCACTGTCCTTAAAGCAAAAGTTTAGGTAATGATAAAGGGGAAGGAACTTCAACGGAACGTGCTATCACAACAGAGCCTTCTGAGCCTATAACTATCACAGAAACGACCCAGGTTCCCGCTATAACTACAGAAGAGAC